GCTTTCTGGAAAATCAAAATAAGGCAGGGTATGGTGGCTCATGCCTCTAATCCTAACATTTTGGGAGACAAGGCAGGCGGAATGCCTGAACTCAGGAGATTGAGACCAGCCTGGGCAACATGGTGAAACCTCGTCTCCACTAAAACACAAAAAATTAGCTGGGCATGGCGGCATGCACCTGTAGTCCCAGCTACTCGGGAGGCTGAGGTAGGAGAATCACTTGAACCCAGGAGGTGGAGGTTGCAGTGAGCGGAGATTGCACCACTGCATTCCAGCCTGGGCGACAGAGCAAGACTCCATTTCAAAAAAAAAAAAAAAAAATGTTTTTCAGTCTAGCATGATGAGCTTACCATGCTAAATAGGATAATGCTTTGGAAGTATGCAAAAGTACCAGTCAGTTACTTGCGGGGGACCCCCCACCCCACCCCCAGAATAAAAGAAATAGCCGTATCACCTTGAAAATTCCACCAGCTTCAGGTTGCCTCAAAAGACCCTCGGGGTCCATTCCATCCCGGGCGCAGGTCACATACATTTCAGAGTAATCCTTCCCTCCAAAGCAGCATGAAGTTGTTTTATCAACAGGCAACTTCACAGTTTGAAGTCTTTTCCCTAGACCACCAAATATTTTATTTAAAGTTTAATTTGTAGCAATTTCCAATCCGTGTATCATTTCTGGGCCCTTTGCAGAGTAATAGGCAAGATCTAAGAAGACTGTGGAGGTCAGGATTCATCGATGCATTTTATATTTAATCTACTTGCCCTGACGATTTATTTTGAGCAAAAAGATGCACCTCTACAGGAAAAGAAATTCTGACTGTAGCTTTCGGGCTATATCTCTGCCTAGCCATGACAAGGATTTTTCATTTTGCTGCAGGCCTACCTGTCACAGGATCTAAACGAATCACTCTTCCTCCATTGTAGCAGGCCACCCAGAGCTTCCCCTCAGCATCAATACACATTCCATCTGGGATTTGTTCTTCTTTTTCCAGCTTGTAAACACTTCTGCGGTTGGCTGTGGTTAAAAGACAAAAACAAAAACAGAACCACAACAAACAAGAGGCCACTAAATACTGAGAATCAAACAGGCAGCTCTCAAGCTGGTTATAAATACTGATCACTTTGGCTTATCCAGTGTCTGGCATGTGAACAAAGGATTTTTACCACATGATTGGGATGGATTCATTGTCTTCTGTTTGGGGACAGGCATATCTGTTTAAGCTTTCAGAGGGAGAGAGAAAAAAGAAAGCAGAATTCTTACAAAAGTACCAATAATAGTTCTTTTTGAAGCTGACCTGAACTGGGGCCCTGCATATCTCTGTCAAGTTCATGTCAGCTTGTGGTTAGACCTTTGCTGTTTCAGTTACAAAAATGCCTACTTTGATCAACTCTGAGATCCGCAAGGCAACTTAATGGTACCACGTGAAGAGTTCATGAACAGAAACTAGCAAGTTCTTTTTTTGCCTGACTGAGCGCTTCAAAATCAAGACCAAATATTAGAAGAGCCTGTTTCTGGAAGGAGGGGCACTCAGAAACCAACTAGGTGGCCTTAAGGGGGATAACCATAGTACACAAAAACAAATATAAAAATTAAGAAGAACTTTATGCTACAAAGTCCAGGTCACTGCAGTCATCAGATTAAGGTATAATGGAAAAATGTTAAAACCACATATAATGAAAATGGGTAAAAACAGTCATAAAAAGAGAGCACTACATGTTTCTTTCTTTTGACTTTTTTGAGATGGAGTCTTGCTCTGTAGCCAGGCTGGAGCGCAGTGGCGTGATCTTGGCTCACTGCAACCTCCGCCTCCCAGGTTCAAGTGATTCTCCTGCCTCAGACTCCCCAGCTCTACATATTTCAAAGGAAAACATCTGCACCAGAATAGTTTGCCTCTGATTAAATCTGCATGCAGAGTTCTGGGGATATTTTTCCCAAGTCATTTTTATTATTAGTTTTGCTCTTTTGTTTCATAAAAGGTTTGGCACCTTTCATGAAACAGTTTCAAGGACCCTATTCTAGGTTCTGAATAATTCCTTTCCTCCAGGTTTCCAACTATCGCTCCTTTCAAGCGTATTGATGGAGTTGGACAACGTGCAAATACTTTTTTTCTTGCTTCTCCATTTTGAAAGGTGGGTAATTAGCTTCTGGGTACTTGCCTATGGTTAACGTAAGTACAAACAAGAAATAGCAATCAAAAACCTCAAGTTTTCTGCTCTTTTGCCCCAATATTCTGTTACGTATTATCTGCCTTTAGGCACCTCCTGGGAGAACAGGATCCCTTTTGAACTGAGCCTCTTTCTACTGATGATGGCAAGGAAGAGGATTGAGACTCTATCCATATTTTTATTAATTATTTTTTATTAGCTCTCCTGGATCTATTCATATTATGCCAAACTCTTGCCATATTTAAATATGTTGAGGGTCATGATTTGACTGGCAGCACACTCAAGTCTGTGCTATCATTACTATATTGCAATAATAGCATCACAAAACTCTCCATATAAGTAACGACCCCTTCACATGGGGCAAGGGAGAGGCGCCTTACTAGTCACAAACAGATGAAGACAATAGTGGCAGCACTGACACAAACAGTGAAAAATACATACAGATCTGTCCTGTCTGCAGGTCATAGTCAAAAGCATCCACAGAGTAGGACAGGCTGTCGATGTAATAGAAGATTTTGTGATCTAGCGACCAATCCAAACCATTGGAGATGTCCACCTGGTCAAAGTACTTTTTCACGTGGTGGTCAGGAAAGAGGGAGTACAGGGCCCCTTGATGTCGCTCAAGAACTGCTGGAGCTGTCTCCTCGGCCATGGTGCCTATAAAAACCAAAGAACTCTGAGCTCTGCCCCACAGCATCTCGCCCCATACACGACACCATCCTTTCTCACCAGGGACCCTTTCCAGTGATTAAATCAAAGGAAATCACTCTACAGTCGGGCACAGTGGCTCACGCCTGTAATCCCAGCACTTAGGGAGGCCAAGGTGGGCGGATCACGAGGTCAGGAGTTCGAGACCAGCCTGGCCAACATGGTGAAACCCCGTCTCTACTAAAAATACAAAAATTAGCTGGGCGTGGTGGCGTGCACCTGTAATCCCAGCTACTCAGGAGGTTGAGGCAGGAGAATTGCTTGCACCTGGGAGGCAGAGGTCGTGGTGAGCCAGGATCGTGCCACTGCAATCTAGCCTGGGTGACAGAGTAAAACTCCATCTCAAAAAAAAAGAAAAAGAAAAAAGAAAAGAAAACAAGGAAATCACTACACAATTTCAATCTGGGCCCTATATATATATTTTTAAATGACAATTACCTTGCATATAATGCAAATTAAACTGTGCTCAGAGGTTCTGGTTCAAGATAACAAGGAGTAAACATGCACAAACCTCATTTTTTCCCACTGGGCACACCTGTAAAACCTGGATAAGGCCGGGCGCAGTGGTTCATGCCTGTAATCCCAGCACTATGGGAGGCCAAGGCTGGCAGATCACGAGGTCAGGAGATCCAGACCATCCTAGCCAACATGGTGAAACCCCGTCTCTGCTAAAAATACAAAAAGTTAGCCGGATGTAGTGGCATGCACCTGTGGTCCCAGGTACTCGGGAGGCTGAGGCAGGAGAATCACTTGAACCTGGGAGTTGGAGGTTGCAGTGAGCCCAGATCGTGCCACTGCACCCCAGCCTGGGCCACAGAGCGAGACTCTGCCTCAAAACAAACAAAAACCCTGGATGAAATGCATGGCACAGCCATCTTAGAACTCCGAAAAGCAAATATTAGCAGGCAGCTCAGGGAAGAACAGCAGAATTGGAAGTACCACCAAACAGATGGTGAGCTCTTCATTTTCTTCTCTGCTATCTCTCAGCCTGAAGTCAATGCAGCCTGCAATCTGGAAGTGTGCACTGTGGTGCAGACAGAGATCCAAGAGAAACCCTCTAGATCTGGCTGGAGGAGGAGGAAAGGAAACTCCTGAAGCTCAGAGAGGGTGGAGAAAATCCCTAGGTTATTTCCCACTCCCTTTTCTCCATTTTCTCACGCACCAGTCCCCAGACAATTCTGCAGCAGGGATAGCAACGGCAGAGAGCACGGCCAGCAGCAGGAAACTGTAGGAATGCCAACTCCAAGGGAAGGAGACATTCCTCTCCATTGGGTGAAGCTGCAGTCCCCAAAGGGCAATGCCAAATACTGTTGCCTTTTTTTTTTTTTTTTTAAGACAGGGTCTCCATCTATTGCCCAGGCTGGAGCACAGTGGCATGATCTCAGCTCACTGCAACCTCCACCACCCAGGTTCAAGCAATTCTCCTGCCTCAGCCTCCCGAGTTGTTGGGACTACAGGTTCACGCCACCACAGCAGGCTAGTTCTTGTATTTTTAGTAGAGATGGGGTTTTGCCATGTTGGCCAGGCTGGTCTTGGACTCCTAGACTCGCTCTGGTTGCCCAGGCTGGAGTGCAGTGATGCGATCTTGGCTCACTGCAGTCTCCACCTCCCAGGCTCAGGTGATTCTCCCACCTCAGCCTCTCGAGTAGCTCAAGCACTCAAGCAATCTACCTGCTTCGGCCTTCAAAGTGCTGGGGTCACAGGCATGCCAAGCCTCCTCCTCCTCCTTCTCTGTCTCCTTCTCTTTCTCCTTCTCCTTCTTTTTTTAGCAGAGTCTTGTTCTGTTGCCCAGGCTGGAGTGCAGTGGCGTGATCACAGCTCACTGCAGACTCAACCTCCCGGACTCAAGCACTCTAGCTAAGTATATGTTATATTGTATATACTTAGGTTATATATTATATAACATATTATATAATACTATATTATAATATATAAATATTATATACTATTATTTACATATTATTATATATATTAGTATTATTACTATAGAATACTATAGTAATCCCTAATAGGTCAACTCACAATGACATCTACAATTTTAAGAGGTCTCCTGATGACCCCAGAGACTCCATGCTAAGAATGCATCTTTATTTTTGTCTCACAAAGTGCCTCAGAACTGTAAACTTAAAAAAAATATGGAGTGCTTCATGCATTTGCGTGTGATCCTTGTGCAGAGCCCATGCTAATCTCTGTATTGTTCCAGTTTTAGTAGCTATGCTGCTGAAGCGAGCACAAAACTGTCAACTTCTAGTCAAAAGGGAGAGAGAAAATCAATTTCACCAGGAGGTGAATTATCCAATCTCGTATCTTTATCCTGCAGAAATTAGTGGCAGGCCAGGCGTGGCGGCTCACACCTATGATCCCAGCACTTTGGGAGGCTGAGGTGGGCGGATCACCTGAGGTCAGGAGTTCGAGACCAGCCTGGCCAACATGGTGAAAACCCGTCTCTACTAAAAATACAAAAATTAGCCAGGTGTAGTGGCATGTGCCTGTAGTTCCAGCTACTCAGGAGGCTGAGGCAGGAGAATTGCTTGAACCCGGGAGGCAGAGTTTGCAGTGAGCCGAGATCGTGTCACTACATGCCAGGCTGGGTGACAGAGTGAGACTTGGTCTCAAAAAAAAAAAAAAAAAATCACTGGCAGAAGGACTTCCAACAGATTCTTGCCATTAATCTTTCAACCTGTCTGGGACCATATCTGTGGTTGTATAAAGTCCAGGAAGATGGGAAGCAGTCTGTAGTCAGTTGCTCTGAGCCCTGCTGCATTCCACGTTGAAAGTGCATAGGCCCAGCACAGCAGGGCCAACAATGTGAGGCAGCAGTGTGGGGAGGTGGGAATAGCAGAGATGGAGAATCAACTTTGGCTAACTTAGAGGGTTATCATGATGAGAAATATATGTAAAATTCATTATCTAATTAAAAACTGTAGATACAATTATTATTATTTTTGAGATGGAGTTTCCTTCTGTTGCCCAGGCTGGAGTGCAGTGGTGCGATCTCGGCTCACTGAAACCTCCGCCTCCTGGGTTCAAGCGATACTACTGCCTCAGTCTCCCGAGTAGCTGGGACTATAGGTGTGCACCACCACACCTGGCTTTTTTTTTTTTTTTTTTTTTTTTTTTTTTTTTTTTTTTTTTTTTTGTATTTTTAGTAGAGACAGGGTTTCACCATGCTGGCCAGGATGGTCTTGACCTCCTGACCTCATGATCCCCCCGCCTCGGCCTCCCAAAGTGCTGGGATTACAAGTGTGAGCCACCATGCCCAGCCGATAAAATTCTTTTAAAGCTGCATATAAGTCATTCTGCAACCATCTTAGTAAAGATTGGTTCAAGAAAGAATCATCAATGAATGTAAAACCTAAGGGAGAAATTTTGATGAGGACCAGTGTGTTTGCATGGACTTAAAATATCTCCTTATGTTGTAGCCAGACTCCAAGATACCCCCTAATGATTCCTACCTTTCAGTACTCTCACCCTTGGATAGTTCCCTCTGTCACTTTCTGACCAAGCATATGGCAGAAGTGATGGTATGTCACTTCCGAGATTGGTTAAAGACTGTAGCTTCCATCTTGAATCTTGGGTGCAGGTGTGTTTCTCTCTCTCTCTCTCTCTCTCTCTTCTCTTACCACTGGTTCTAGGGGCAGCCATGTCCTGAGCAGCCCTATGGAGAGACCCACTGGCTAAGGAACTGAAGCCTCCTGCCAATCCCTATGTGAGTGAGCTTGGAAGTAGATCCTCCAGACCCATTCAGGGAATCCAGCCTTTTCTGAGGCTGCAGTCCCTGCAGAAAGCTTGACTACAGTCTTATGAGATAGCCTGAACTGAGTCCATCCAGCTAAGCTGCACCCAGATCCTTGACCTTCAAAAACCATGTGAGATAATAAATATTTCTTATTTTAAGCCTCTAAGTTTCAGGGTAATTTGTCATATGGCAATAGATAACTAAGAACCCCCACAAATTGCTTATAAATTGCACTTAAAAATAGTTATCCAGTAGAGAAATCTGACAAGGCCTTAAGCTGGTGATCAAAATCACCAATGAGGGGACACATGCACATCGTGTTCCTCCAGATGGGTTACCCTGAGAACAGAACATTATCTGTGCGGTCTTCCAGTCAGGAATGTATAACATCAACTTGATCACAAGCAAACACCAGACAAATACTAAATAAGGAATGCCCTATTAAAAAACAGGGGAGTTGGGTAGGGCTGGCTGTATTCTTAAAAAATGGCAACATTATAAAAAACAAAGAAAGTCTATGAAAATGTTCCAGTTTTAAAAAAGATCAAAGAGATATGAAAATGAAATGCAATCCACAACCCTAGACTGGATCCTGTGCTGGAAGGAAGAATGCGAGAAAGGACATTTTTGCACAACTGACAAAATTGGGATACAGATAGTATATCAGATAAGATGACTGTATCAATGTTAAATTTTTCTTTTTGAGACAGAGTCCCACTCTGTCCCTCAGGCTGGAGTGAGTGGTACAATCTCAGCTCGCTGCAACCTCTGACTCCTGGGTTCAAGTGATTCTCCTACCTCAACCTCCCAAGCAGCTGGGATTACAGGTGCCCACCACCACACCCAGCTAATTGTTTTGTATTTTTAGTAGAGATGGAGTTTCACCATATTGGCCAGGCTGGTCTCGAACTCCTGACCTCAGGTGATCGGCCTGCCTCGGCCTCCAAAGTGCTGGGATTACAGGCATGAGCCACCACGCCCAGCCTAAACTTCTTTAAGTTGATCACTCTAACTGTGGTCATGTAAGAATACGTCATCTTTCTTGGGAAATTCACACTGCAGCATTTTAGGGGTAAAGGCACATAGAATATATATGAGACCTACTCTCAAATGATTCTGGAGATAGACCGGGTGCAGTGGCTGACACCTGCAATCCCAGCACTTTGGGAGGCCAAGGCATGAGGATCACTTGAGCTCAGGAGTTCAAGACCAGCCTGGGCAACATAGTGAGATCTCATCTCTATTTATTGATTTAGTTTTTTTTAAAAAAGACACTGGATATAAATATGTTTAGATATATACAGACAGCAAATGCTAAAGCAAATGGAACAAAATGTTAGCAATAGGCGAGACTGGGTAAAAGGTATACAAGTGTGGTTTGTACTGTTCTTACTTTTTCCTGTAAATTTGAAAATATCTCTGATTTAAACATTCACAACAAAACCTTTGTATTTTTTTAGTACTACAAGTTACTCAGGCAATAATAAAAGAAGAACCCAAGATTCATTATAAAGAACATTTTTGAGGTAGTGAGAAATTTATTTATTAATTTCATTCATTTTAGGTCTCACTCTGTCATCCAGGTTGGAGTGCAGTGGCATGATCTTGGCTCACTGCAGCCTCGACCTCCTGGGCTCAGATGATCCTCCCAACTCAGCCTCCTGAGTAGCTGGGACTACAGGTGCCCGCTACCACACCCCGCTAATTTTTTGTATTTTGGGTAGAGACGGGGTTTCATCATGTTGCCCAGGCTGGTCTCCAACTCCTGGGCTCAGGCAACCTGCCCGCCTTGGCCTCCCAAAGTGCTGGGATTACAGAAGTGAGCCACCACCCCGGCCAGTAGTGAGAACTTTGTATGTCAAAGTATTTCCTCCAAGGCTCAGTAAGTAGTTGTTAAGAGAAATCTTACCAGCAAAGTACCTCCCGGCGGGATCCACCTTCCCATCATTGAAGCGATTGTTTTTCTTGTCGTTATCCACTGTGGCCAGGACAATTACTGATTGTTCTTCCCAGTTCAAAGCACAGAACTTTGTTCCAATGGTGGCAACATAGCCTCCCGACTGGCGAAGAGCCACGGAACTGACTGGGGCATCTGTAGAGGCAAAACAGCAGTTAAAAGGCAGCAGCAGTTTAGTGGCTGAGGCCACTGAGGTCACTGTGCTACTTGGCCTCTCGTGGAGTGGCAGCCCAGCTCTCGTGACAATGGGAGCGCTGTCTTCCTTCTGTTGAGTAGGGAAGGCTACGTAACCTAGTACATTTGTTGAGTATGAATTCTGTTTGCTGATCTGGGTAGCAATAGATAGAAATGTGAATAAAACCCAATTCCTCTGGAAGCTCCCAGTCTAGTGGGAGAAGCAGAGAAGTGAAAGCACAGTGGCCATGATATGGGGCAGGTGCCACATCCAGTTCAGAGGAGGAGTTTCTAATCTAGAGGCACCAGGACAGTCATCACAGAGCGAGTGATACTCTATTTTGCCAGGAAATGCTCCAGAAAATTCAGAGACACAAACTGAGTTTAGTTATAGGAGGTAGGTTTTGTGATATCTCTCTCCCTCTCAACTCCAGGATCCTTCCTTCCTTCCTTCCTTCCTTCCTCCTTCCCTCCCTCCCCTCCCCTCCTCCTTCTCTTTCTTTCTTTCTTCTCTTTCTTTCTTTCTCTTTCTTTCTTTCTTTCTTTCTCTTTCTTTCTTTCTTTCTTTCTTCTTTCTTTCTT